GCCACCTTAGGTGTATGTGGCTGGCGCCTTAGCCGGTTGAGCTATAGGCGCCGAGCCCAGAAATCATTTCTTAAGCACCTATCACACACAATGCATTATAAAATAGACTAGGACTATAAGAAGACACTGTCTGTGTCCTCTTGGACCTCAACATTCTAATGGAGGAGATAGGCATATATTGGGCTCAGTATAAATCAGTATATCAAAAGAGTAGAGGAGGGATGGCTAGATTAAGACCCAGATCTTAAAAGAATGGAGCTATTCCAGAAAAGAGACTGCCTAATATAAGTCTTAAAGGCTAGATGACAAAGAGAAAGGGGGCAATTCTGGCAAGCAGAATTGTATGAATAAAGGCCTAAAAGTATAAAATAGATAAGGAGAGATAAGGAAATACACTGTTATTAAAGCACAGAAATTGAGGTAGATGGTGTTAATAGATGGGACTAGAAAGGTAGTAAGAGGACTGTGTGAAAGAGGACTGTGTGAAGACTATTGCTTTGAGCAATAGGGATTTCCTGGTATTGCCAAAAAATGAAAAGAAAGCCAAGCCAGCAGAATTATGATCTTTCTGAAAACAGTTGCATGAGGTATGTACAGTTCTCCTTGGTCACCATGGGTGATTACTTCTAGACCCTCCTGTGGATACCCAAATCCTCTGATGCTCCAATCCCTGATATAAAATGGTGTAGTAGTTGCCTGCACATCCTCCGGTATACTTTAAATCATCTCTACATCATTTACAATACAAAATCCAATGTAAACACTATGTAAATAGCTGTTATATTATTTAGGAATTAATGATAATGAAAAAAGTCTGTACATGTTCAGTACAGATGCAGTTCTTTTCCTATTATTTTTGATCCACAGTTGGTTGAATCCACAGATCTGAAACCCATACATAAGGAGGGCTATCTATAATCTCACTAAACTGATTTCCATTAAAAAATTCTTTAGATGTCAAAGAGTACATTCAAAACAAGGATAGTTTCAAAGAGAAATCTACCAACTCTTTAAGGAACAAAAAAATTGTAATTATTTTTAAGTTGTTCAAGAGTATTGAAAAAGAAAAATGCTTTCCATTATTTTAAGGCAGACAGCGTAACATGGATTATAAAACCTGCCAGGATTGCATAGGAAAAAAAAAGCCAAACCAGACACTTCAAAATATTTATGCAAAAATCCTTAAAAATGTCATCAACCAGAATACAACAGAACATTTAATGAATACAAAATCGGTGCTGCTTGTCCCAGAAATGCAAGAAACATTCAATATTAAAAACTTAATAAGTATAAAAAATCATGATTATTTCTCTAGACATTGAAAAGGTATTGAATTTTAGTGGAATTCAACACCTTTCAATGTCTAAGGAAATAATCATGATTTTTATACTTATTAATTCTATTCTTAATTTTATTTCAATAAGTAGGTAGAAATTAGATAGTATCATGTTTGATGGGGAGTAAATAGTAATTAGAGTAAGTAGTAGGCAGAGTTCAAAGATGGCCTCTATGATTTCCAACCCCTGGTATCCACATCATTGTTTAATCTTCCCCCCGGATGTGGGTAAAACCTCTGACTTGCTTCTAATTAATGAATATGGTGAGGGTGAATGAGTTTTGTAGATATAATTAAGATCCTTTATCAGTTAACTTTGATGTATGAAAAGGGAGATTATCCTGAGTAAGCCTGACCTAATCTGACAAGTCCTTTAAAAGAAGACTCAAGCTTTCTCTGAGAGATTTTTCCCATTGGCTTTGAAGAAATAAGCCATTGTGTTTTGAGAGGGCCACATAGCAAGGAACTGTGAGGAGCTTTTATTATAGGACATCAGAATAGCCCCTGGCTAATAGCCGGCAAGAAAATGGGCACTTCAGTCCTTCAACTACAAGGAACTGAATTCTGCCAAGAAGCTCTTGAGCTTAGAAGAGGACTGTGAGCTTTAGAAAGGAACCTCACCTAGCCAACACCTTAATTGCAGCCTTATGAGCAGAGCACCCAGCTACGCCATGCTTAGCCTTCTGATATATGGAAACTGAGCTGAAAGATGTGTTGTTTGAAGCTGCCAAGTTTGAAGTGATTTGTTAAAAGTGGGACACTAATGCATTGTTGAAGTCATTATCAAGACAAGAATACCCAATATCACTATTATTATTTATCAATACAGAGAACACAATTCAACAAGAGAAAGAAATCAGTGATAACTTGAAAAGAAGGAGGAAACGTCCTGTTTTCATTCAATTCCAATATTGAATATTTGGAAACTCCAACAGAAGTAATTGAGAAGCTATAAAAGAAACTATATTACAAATAACAAGCAGAAAGAAAATATAAGAAAAGACCTAACTCACAGAACAACATAAAAAGATGAAATATCTTATAATAAGCTATTAATAAATATGCAAGATGTATACAAAGCATACTGTTTCGATCCTGCAATTCCTTTACTAGGTATATATCCAGAAGACCAAAAATCATTTTACAACAAAGATTTTTGCACCAGAATGTTTATTGCAGCCCAATTCATGATTGCCAAGTCATGGAAGAAGCCCAAGTGCCCATCAACCCATGAATGGATTAATAAACTGTGGTATATGTATACCATGGAATATTATGCAGCCTTTAAAAAAGATGGAGACTTTACCTCTTTTATGTTTACATGGTGAAGCTGGAACAAATTCTTCTTAGTAAAGTATCTCAAGAATGGAAGAAAAAGTATTCAATGTACTCAGTACTATTATGAAACTAATATATAATGACCCACACCTTCATATGAAAGATAAAACACAACTATAGACCAGGATGAAGGATGGAAGAGGAGGGTGGCAGAGGGGGAGGCCGGTGGGAGGGAGGGCAATCTGTGGGACTTCATCTATGGTGCATATTGCAAGGGTACATGTCAAATCTATTAAGAGTAGAGTATAAATGTCTTAACACATTAAGTGAGGCAAAAGCT